CCCCAAAACCCCAAAACCCCAAAACCCCACAAACTTTAAAATCATTGATAATATAAATTTATTTGCCAAAACTATTCATGAATTGCCAAGTAAGCTTTGCTCCAAAAGAAGGCTCGAAGGCTAGCTTCAATCACAAAAAGGAAATCTCAGGATCAGAAGGGAGTAGCCTTAAAGAGGAGGAATCGAACAGCAAATTAGAAGACTCATCTGAGCGAACAGAGGAAAGGAAGGATTACCAGAAAGGAAAATGGACGTCTTACGAGCATTTGATATTCTTAGCCTGTGTCATCCACTATGGAAGGGACTGGAAGAAAATAGAGGAACATGTCAAGACGAGGTCTGCCTCCCAAGCAAGGTCTCACGCCCAGAAGGTTCTTAAGAAGATGGATAGGAACGCAATTATGAGAGAAATTAGACAGATCAAAAGCCAAATTAATTTCGACCCAAAAATTCATCAATGAGGCGATCTAGTAGTTTTGATAACTGAGGGAGATAAGTGGAGAAACATACCAGGTGTAATGCCATCTCGGTATCTTAAAAAGAAGAGGGGAAGTAATCAAGAGGCTTCATGCCCGGAAAAGCAAGTAGAGCTAAAAATTTTAAAATAATTCTCAAAAAGATTTAGAGCAAGAGAATTCAGAAATTAGGAGAGTAAATTTTAATTCTATCACTTCTGACTCGAAAGGCAATTCTAAAAATGAAAAAAACTCTCCTCAAAAGCAGCCATTTCGCCAGACATCTATCCAAACAAGAGGAAATTCACTATCAGAAGCTTTTAAAAGTTCTGAGATAATTAATACTCCTGATCCAAAGCTGCTCAAAGCAGCTGGGACTCCTTCCACCTGAGTAAGTAGTCAGGCTTCTCCTATGAACCCTGAACCAAATACCACTCTCAGGAAAGATGGCCTGAAAGGCTCAGCAGCTCCAATTAGCAAAGCTCCTTCTCCAAAATGCTTTAAGAACTTAAGTCCAAGCATCAAGGAATGTGGAACAAATAGTATGGCTGAAAATACTTGCACATCTGTTCGTAAAGCACCTAGTGATGAAATTTACTTTGATTTCGACTTCCAACCGTTCCTTCGGAACGACAAGGTGGATATCGAATTCGAGAACCTCATATCACTCAACAGTGTGCAGACAGGTCATGATGCATTTAGCAGCAATGAGTCCATGCTGACAACCCAATGGTTGCTAGGAGACTCAATGATGCCTTTATCAGCCCTTTACTAGAGCAGAATTTTAATTAAATTTCTAAATTAAAACTTCATATATAAATTTTAACTAGTCCAATTTTGGCTAGTTTTCTCGGGGTTTTGGGGTTTTGGGGTTTTGGGGTTTTGGGGTTTTGGGG